TCTTCCGGATATTTCATTAAATAAGGAATCATTGTAGCATTAAAATTCCTTATTTAGATATCTCTAATTATTATTATTTTCTTTGAGAGATCAAAAAGAAAAAAAATTCTACAAAGCTTTTGCAAAAAACGGAATTATGTCGAAAATTTCAATTAAACTACAATCGAATGAGAATTGGGATATTAAAATTCAATGTACCCAGTTTGTAGATATTTTGTAGATAAATTATAGATTATTTGTATTCTGATTGTAGATGCTTTGTTTTCTGTTTCACAAATCAAAAACGACTAAAACTTCTATAAATCTTCTGCAAAAAATGCAATTATGTCGAAAATCCCAATTATGCTACAATTGAATGAGAATTGGGATATTAAAATTCAACGTACTCAGTTTGTAGGTATTTTATCGATAAATTATAGATTATTTGTATTCTGATTGTAGATGCTTTGTTTTCTGTTTTCATAAATCAAAAACGACTAAAACTTCTACAAATCTTTTGCAAAAAACGCAATTATGTCGAAAATCCCGATTATGCTACAAATATGTGATTCTCCTATATGCTCTTGTTACTCATTACGAAACTGCTATGCTAAATATGGAATCCAAAAAAATATTTTTGCAATTTTTCTTCAAGAAAAATAAATAAACAACAGTCTACAATTTTTCTATAATTTATGCAATATACGTCTTCTTCTTCTTCGAATTTCAATCTGAAATTCAGCCAAAGTCAAGTCTAATCTTCATCAAAACCCCTCAAAATTGAGATATAAACTCCAAACCATATTCTCAATTATTTACAACAGCACCCAATCCAAACAAATAATGATTTTTGAAAACCCAAATTTGAATTCAAAGCTTCAAAGCTTTTTAATGGATGTCAATGGTAGAATTGCTGCTCTCTTTTCCTTTCCTCTTATATTACTGAAGGAACCCGAAAACATAACCATCAAAAGTTATTGTTGTGTATGAAACTTTGAAGATTTGACTGGTTGTAGAAGAAAAAATCTTGATTTTGGACGTTAATGGTTGAAGGTTTCAATTGTTTTTCTGGATTTAGCAGAGGGTTTCAATTGTTTTTCTGGTTTTTCTAGTTTCTGGCTGTGTGGTGATACGTGGGTGAGGGTGTGGGGTTGGGAGAGAGAAACGTG